CTAGTTATTTATGCAAGAGAAATAAAAACATACATGGACAAAAAGTATTTTATAAGAATTTGTATAGCAGCTTTATTCATAAATACCCAATTAGAATTTTCAGTCAATAACTGGAAACAACCCAGATACCCTTCAATGGAAAAATGGATAAATAAGCTGCAGTGTATCATTCAATGGAATACTAAGCAATAAAAGGATACAAACTATTGATATGTGCAACTATTTGAATTAATTTCAAAAGCTATCATTTTGAGTGAAAGAAACTTGACACAAAAATTACATATTGAATTATTCCACTGATGTGATGTTCTAGAATAGTTAAAACTAATCTGTGTTGATAAATATCTGCCCATATATAGACAGGACAGAGTGGGACAATGCCCAGGAAAGGGAACCAGGGAACTTTTTGGGAGTTCCATGTGTCTCGATATGCACTCCTCAACACTAATTAAAGGCTACTGAGTTAGTTCATTTGCATTGCTCTAAAGGAATACCTAAGGTTGGATAATTTATAAGGAAAAAAAGTTTATTTTTTGGTTCATGATTCTGCAGGCTGTATGAGAAGCATGGTGCCAGTATCTGCTTCCAGTGAGGTCTCAGGGAGTTTTTACTCGTGGCAAAATGCAGAGTGCGAGCAGGCATGTCATGTGGCAAGATGGGGAGCAAGAGAGAGAACGGAGAGGTTCCAGACTCTTAAACAAACAAACCCCATCAGACACTTAAACAAGCAGATCTCATGTGAACTGAGTGAGAGCTTGCTCATCACCAAGGTTATGGCCCTAAGCCATTCATAAGGGATCCATCCCCATGACACAAACACTTCCTACCAACCCATACCTCTGACACTGAGGATTACATCTCAACATGAGATTTGTAGAAGACAAACATCCAAACCATATCAGGTACCCTTAAGTTCTGTGTGTGGTGGTTCCCTCAGTATCCCCAGGGGATTGGGTCCAGGACCTGCCCTCCCTGCAGGATACCAAAATCTGTGGACACTCAGGTCCCTGATGACATAAAGTGGTATAATGTTTGCATATAACCTACGCACATCCTTGCCTATAATTTAAATCATCTCTTGATTACTTGGAATACATAATACAACAAAAATGCTGTATAAAAAATTGATATACTATTTTTAAAATATTTTTTTATTTCTGCATTGTTATTTTTTTCTGAATATTTTGATTCAAGATTGGCTGCATTTGTGAATGGGGAACCAGCAAATGGAAGGATGACTTTATTTCTGAATGTCAATTTTAATTGAATTTTTAAGGAAATCCATTACAATGCTTATCTATGTGTTCAAATATTATAGTTTACTGTTTTCAGAAATGATATAACAGGTTAAGAATATTATAGGAGTCATAAGAAGCACAATGGTGAGAACTGGACTCGGCAGGCACATCATCATGTAGGACCAGCAAGAAGAACAGGGTGGTGATGGAATTCAATCTCCAGAAGAAATCACCAGGGCAGAGAGATTTGAGAGAGAAGTAACTCAATCATTTCTTATGATCCCTCCAATTCCAAACCTCCCTAAAACAATTAAATACATTGTAATGGCAGGGAAGAATATTAGGGATAATATGCTTTCAGTAGCTCTACTTCCTTTGCCCCTTAAATTTCTCTCAATCACTTGCCAAAACCTAAGTTTCTTTAAAATAATGGGAAATAATTATCTTCACAACTCAAAATAAAAAGCTTAAAATGCAAATGCATGGTTAGGATAATACTTTAAGATAAATGAATTTTATTCCTAAACAGTGTATGAATGCAAATTAAGCACTGATCTTTCCCATTACTGGTAATGTAGAAAGAAGATAAAGAAGTAACAGTTCAATTTAACACACATTTACTGAGAGTGTAACATGGACTAAATACGTGGTTTTCAAACTTTTGTGACTGTGACCTTTAGTAAGAATTGCAATTTATATTTCAGCCCTGCATGTAAGTACATATGTATAACTAAAGCAGTGTTATAAAATAAAACATGTACTTGCTAAGCAAGATGCAGTCTGGTATTTACTAGACAAGTTAGTTTGTCTCATGCTTGCAGAAATGCAAGTCATGATTCATTAATTTCGCTACCCACTAAAAGGTTGTGAATTGTGGTTTGAAAAACACAGTGCTATTCTTTCTATTCAAAATGTGGTCTGTGGACCAACACCAGCAACATCTGGGGACTTGTAAGAAATGCAGAACCTGAGACCATACCTCACACCTAATGAATCAGAATCTGCATTTTAACTAAACCTCCGGGGCTTCCTGTGCCCTTTAAAGCTTCAGAAGCCCTGTTCTAGACAATGCCTGAGTAGGATTCTCTGAACAGATGAACGCTTCTTGGTATTGTTGAGGGCAGAGATTCTTCCTCAGAGATAGTCTGGTTTCAGAATAGGCATACTCAAGACCCAAACTAAGCCTAATTCAGTACCTCCAAGGATATCTCATGGCATTTTTATTTAAAACAACAACAATAAATTAACAAACAAAATCCAATAAGGCCTCTGAACCAGACCCTATTTAAGAATCACTGTATACAAAGTTAAGTGAAAGTTGCGCACTGAGGTTAGTTGTTTGTTTACTATTATACAAAGGTGCAAGCCTATGCTTCCAGTAATATGGAAAGGTTTTATTTTATTTTTCTTTGTGGATGACTTCATAGAAAGGCACTTCATTCACACAATACTTATCGATGGGGGATTGCTACTGCTTCTTTTGAATTTACTTCTCCTTATCAGAGAATTTCCAAACATGTTCATTTTACCATGTAACGTGACTTCTGGTAGAAATATTATTATTAGTCCTGCTGAGATAGCAAAATTTATCCCTGGATGACCTCCAGTCGATCCCTTACCAAAGATCTCAACTGCTGAAGAAAATGGGGCTGCCTCTAAGTGGCTATCACTGTTCATTAAGGTCCTTGCCATTGTGTTCCTATCTTTCCTGAGTAATGGGAAGTTTTAGTCTGGAAGTTGCTAATCTTGCTAACACTAAAAGGCTTTCTCCCATTAGCAGCTTCTGTGTTGCATTAATAATAAGAAAGTAATAAAGAGACCGACCTCAGCTGTTCAGTCTCCCCTGAGAGGAGGCCCAGCTTCCCTCTTATCCCCATGGTCCACTCTAATGGTCTTGCCTATATTAAAGTAATAGAGTGGATAATAAGATAAGTGCTGTCTATTTTATCAGAGTCTAAAATTTCTTCTTTTTCAGGAGGATACTTTTTTTTAGGACATCCAAATTGAAAACTATACTATCGATACTTTTGCAATTGAAATTGACCTGTTTCATTCATACTCTTTTAAAATATAGACTATCAAGCATGGGGAAAAAATGTTTTAGAAAAAATAAATCCCTTTACCTTTTTTGGAAGAGTTATAAAACGGAGAACTCTCCTAAATGTGTCTTTTTGTCCTTTTTTGAATAAATCAAATTACTCATCTGCACAGCAGTAAACTAAAGAAAAATAAAGATCTTTGATTTTATAAATATTAAAAACTCTTGTTAGTAAACAAAGAATAAATGATGAGAAAACACCATATTAAAACAAAATAAGATTGGATTCAACAAATTCAAGGTGCATGATAATAAATTGGTAAAAATGTTCATAAAGACAGGAAAAAATGATGGGCTTAATTGCTTATGTTTCTTTTTTCTTTTCTGTTGAAAATATGTTACAGTTTGCAGAAGTGCACTTCCTGAAGATTCCCTTGATTTAAACATCTGTTTTTAAGTGTATGATCTGTGTATGGAATTATATTATCTATGCAGTAGTTAGTTGGTTCCAATTTTTCATTGTATAATGAAGCTACTTTTTGTTTCAACTTTGTTTAACTGGGTAAACAGGTAATTCACCTTGAAAGTGTTGCTCATTTCTAGCACTCAAAATACTAGAAACTTTTTCTCGGCCGGGCACGGTGGCTCAAGCCTGTAATCCCAGCACTTTGGGAGGCCGAGGTGGGTGGATCACGAGGTCAACAGATCGAGACCATCCTGGTCAACATGGTGAAACCCCGTCTCTACTAAAAATACAAAAAATTTGCTGGGCACGGTGGCGCATGCCTGTAATCCCAGCTACTCAGGAGGCTGAGGCAGGAGAATTGCCTGAACCCAGGAGGCGGAGGTTGCGGTGAGCCAAGATCGTGCCATTGCACTCCAGCCTGGGTAACAAGAGCGAAACTCCATCTCAAAAAAAAATAAATAAAAACTTTTTCTCAATGTACACTGTTGTATCCTGATTTTAAAAGCCTACCTTTAGGTGACATCTTGCCTATTTTTGTACTTGTAATTTAGAAGGAAAAAAGGATGATGATGACAGTAATCATCATCATCATCAGTGACTCAATGTATTTTTTTAAATAAAATGTGTTTATACCCCTCTAAAAAGGAATCACTGTGATTAGCTCTATGCAATATTTATGTGAGATTCAATAAATGGCAGTAAAAAACAACTAAAAGCTATCTTCTAAAAACTTATAATCAATATATTTTTTCTTGTAAGCACTTAACAGTTTGAGAGAAAAATGTGAGCATCACTAATAAATCAGGGATGCTCATCTAAATTTTTTAAAATTATACATGAAAACTTTTTTGAATGAAAAAGTCCAAAATTTGGAAATAAAAAATGCTAAATATTTTTCAGTAAAATAAACAGTAGATCTTTTCCCCAGAGAGGTGACAGATTGAATTCCTTTTAACTAAATAACTTGTATATCATCTATTTATTGGCTAAAATTTTGATAAATCCAGTAAACCCACGTTTGCTTTATTTTGCATGCAAAATGCAAACATGTTCACTGCATATCAGTGGGAGACATATTATTGTTAGAGTTGTCCGTGAGATGGAGGAAGAAGAGAGTGGCATATTATGACATTCTTATGAAGCTCCAATAGCAGACAGGTCCATTGCGAAAGTAGCAGCTTTAATAAAGAATTGTCCTAGAGTTGTAGATATAATGCACACTTATCTGAATTCCTTTTACTCTTTTTCTGTTCTACAGTCCATGAAGGCTCTGGAGAAACTAGTCAAAAGGAGACATCCACCTGTGATATTTGCCAGTTTGGTGCAGAATGTGATGAAGATGCCGAGGATGTCTGGTAATATGCTGTTTTTATTCTTTTAGACAAAATAATGACAGTGATTAATTTCTTTTTATTGCCATCAACCATTCTGAAACAGAATACATTGTCTGCATTTTTATTTTCTTATTCAGTTCCCAAGTGAAAAAAAAATGAGGGCTATAATAACAGCAAGGAATTTCTGGAACTGGATTAAGAAGTGGGCCAGCCATGCAGCTATCCATGGCATTACTTGTAACATACACTAAAATATCATTGAAGCCCCCTAAAACTGTCAGTGTTAGGATATGGGGGCAGGGAGTCTTATGTACTAGAATATCTTTCAAGAAGTATCATCAAGGCTAGGTACGACGGCTCAAGACTGTACTCCCAGCAAGCCTGTATGCCAGCATTTTGGGAAGCCAAGACAAGAGGATCACTTGAGGCCAAGAGTTTGAGACAAGCCTGGGCACAAAGGAAGACCCACATCTCTACCAAAAAAATCTAAATTAGCTGGATATGGTCACACTAGCCTGTAGTTCCAGCTACTCAGGAGGCTGAGATGGGAGCATCACTTGAGCACAGGAAGTTGAGGCTACAGTGAGCTGTGATGATGCCATTGTGTTCCAGCCTGGGCCACAGAGTGAGACCCTATCTCATTTTAAAAGGCATCATCAGAAAGCAATAGATGATCAGACTTAGTCTGTTTGGGTTTCTATAAAAATACCATAAACTGGGTGGCTTATAAACAAAAGAAATATGTTTCTCATCATTCTGAAGGCTGAGAAGTTCAAGATCAAGGCAGATTTAGTGTCTGATAAAAGCTAACTTTCTCTTAAAGTAGGCTTCTTCTCACTGAGGCTTCACATGGCAAAAGGGCAAGGAAGGTCTCTGGAGACTGTTTTAATAAGGTCACTAATCCCATTCATGAAGGCTCTAGCCCCATAACCTAATCACCTCCCAAAGGTCCTACCTCCCAGTACTATCATCTTGGGGGTTAAGATTTCAGCATATGAATCTGGGGAGGGGGACACCAATATTCAGATCATTCCAGTCGCTAATCTGACTTCTAAGATGATGGAGTAGCTACTCTTATAAAGATATGTTCGTCAAATAATGAATAGTACTTATTATTTTGAATGGGTGCCAACATTTTAGCCTTCTACTGTATTGGTTCCACCCTAAGCACATGAAGAGTGAATAATAGACTTCTGAGGGAGTTCTTTGTGTCATGATAGTGAAAAGAAGCAGCCTCTTTTTCATTCCTCTCCTCTTTTCTTCTGCTCCTCGCCCTCCTCCTCTTCCACTTCTTCCTCTTCTTCTTTTCCTCCTCTTCCTTTTCCTCCCTGTCTTCCTCCTTCTCCTCTTTTTCTTCTCCTTTGTTGTCATCTTATTATTATTATTTCCCTCTTTTTCTTTTTTACATATACCTCACCCCTCTCAGGAAAACATCTGGGTGCTCTTTATTTTCTTCAGTATGCAGACTGTGCTTGCCTACATCAGTTAACCATCATTTTAATCAAACTTTTGTGAGTAGAAGGGAAAATTCATCTAAGGAAAATGAAGAAAATAAAAATTAAGACAAGATTATCTAACAATAGAAAAACGGTCTGCACTTAAAATGTTTTTTTAAGTGAAAATTCTATCTGAACAAATGGTGGTTCTTAGGGTAAACTACGTACTTACAGATAAACACTGTCTTTGAATAGCCAAGTGAAATAAACATTTATTAGTAAAAGCAGACATCAGTAGAGTTTTCATACCTGTCAAATACCTATGGCCAATGGGCAGCTGGGAGCCAAGTGAGAGAGTCTATACACTGGTTTGACCATCTTGAGGTAAACAAATGTGTGTTTTTGTAAAGCATCCTAGGCATCTTAATGGTTGATGAATATGTGGTTTCCAAAACTGAGAGATTTCCAGAAATACTTTGGGGATTTTTTTAAAACATACCAGTTATTTAGTTCATACCCGAAATTAATGAATCAGAATTTCAGAGAAGAAGGACTTAAAATTTTACTTTTCTGTAACTCCCAGGATGATTATGGAAATACTATTCTAAAATAAATGACTAATTCAAAGAATCTTTCTCCTTCCTAAACGCTTTAGGGCTCTTCTGCAGTCATAAGATTAAGACACACAAATAGGAAATATATCCTTAAAATATTTTCTTTCTAACGTTTGTTGGTGACTGCATCTGTAGTTCAGCATCATTTTTAAGCTATTAATTATCTTGTCAATTATTTCACTTTAAAACAATTGACATGAGTCTCTATCTTTTTTGAAGAATTTTAATTTTTCTAGTTCCTTATCTTTTTGATGAACATTCTTTAAGTGCTATTGCTCTACTTTCCAAGTACAGATATTTAAGACATGAGCTTTTAAGAGCAGCTAAAAATTATACATTGCTTACAGTGGGCTTTATCCATTTGTATACTTTATTTCTCAGTTATCTTCAAAACAGCCAGAGGAGGTAGATTCCATTATTATTTTACTTTACAAAGAGGAAACTGAGTTTTAAATTATTAAAGTGGCAGGATCAAGATGAAGATAGTAGGTGAAAATAACTAAAGCTTGTTAGCATAACAATTCAACCAAAATGCAATTGAAACAATATGTCATTGCTGTCATGTCTAGACAATGAGATGGCCAGATTGAAGGCAGCATATTTGCAGTGACTCTCTAAGACCTGCAAGGTTAGAGCTGGTCTAGGCAGATGTGTGCAGCTGGAAGTGGGAAAACATCTAAGCGAGCAAGGTTAATCCTAGTATTCTTGCAAAAGTTCAGATCCATGGTATGGAGGCAGTATGAAGAGATGGGCAAGTCTAGTGGCACAAGAAAGGCCTAGCAATTGTCTATAGGGCCCAGCCTGGCAACTGTAATTCAGAAAATAAATTCAGTTACAAATGGGACAATAAGAGGACAAGGCAGAACTTTAGTCATGGAGAAATTGGTGTCAATCAGAAAAGCTCATCAAGAACTGAAACAGGAAAGCCTGAATAGATATTGGAATGGCATACAAAACCAAGCCTTGGTTACAAGTGGCTCAGAGAAACGTACCCTACATCTGAGAAATAAATTACAAGGTCAGAATGAAACTGGCAGCAAAGCTAACTGAATGCTAAATCAGTTAGCTCTTGGCTAGGATATCTTGTAATGCCCCCAGCATAGGGACAAGCTTAGCTCCAAAATGCAGAATAAGCCTGAACCTCCAGATGGGGGCTAAGTGGCCACGGCTGTGAAGATTAGAGGGCTGTAGGGGCAGGGAGCCAAGAAGATCATTAGACTTCCAAGGCAAGGATGATAGTTGCTAGCTTTTAAATAAAATGTATTTGAAATGTTCAATGTAAGAAATAAGGAATTGTGCCGAAATAAGTGCATTGATTTTCATTTACATACTTTGTATGTTAACATATCTATGTTAAAATCTTGTATTTAGTTATGGCCATGAAGGGCAGATTGGAAACAGCTGAAGGACACAGGAATGAAGCAATGAGTGAAATTAACTAAGCATAGAATGAAAGAGGCCAGGCATAGAATGAAAGTAAGATAGGAAACAATAGCAGAGTGATCTGACTATAGTATAGGCAACAGAACCTTCACTAAATCAAGGAAGCGTTGATACACTATTGATTTTGGATGACACCATGGCCGGGTTCTCTCAAACATAAAATATTACATATGCTGTGTGGCAACAAAGAGTACAACTTAGTGTTTTGTTTTTTTTCTTTTAACGCCAACTAAACTATAAATTTATGTGTACAGATTTCCTCAATCCTGCATTATGAAGTAATAACAAGATGTGAATTACTACTGATGTGAAATAATGTTCTTACTGTATTCCACAATACTGAGACAAAGGTGAAAAATTCCCGATCTTTCTTTAACCCTGGCCTAAGTTAATATTTTACATTTTGCCACAGGGTTAAATCTAGTTATTCCAACATTCTCAAGTACTTTCAAGATGAAGACAAATCTTCACTAAAATAAAAAAGTCAATACATTGTTAGCTGATTATGTTTTCATAGTTAGATGAGTTTTTGAGTTAAGAAGAAAGTCACACTAGAGATGAATAAAAAAATTAATAAACATGGGAAAGAGAAGGAGAATAAAATAAGAGGAGAAAAATAATAACTAGATGGCATTGACAAACTATGATACTAATGACACAACATATTAATGCTTTTATTTTGAGAAAACAGATGGCTCATAATCTAATATAAGAGCCTAGTTTATGTTCTATGATGTCATTTCAAGGTTTCTCTCTTGCATTTTTCTTATATGGGGAACATCAAGGCTATAAAAAAAATCAGAAAAGTTTTTCGTTTTCTTAATAGGAAAGGAAGACCATTGCTACAAAATATTTTTTAAGTTACAGATATTAACTTAAATGTAGGAAAGGATTAAGCTTCCAAAAGAGGGTTAAAATTCAACAGGACAAGTTGTTCACATGCCAGTACAACATTCCTATAATAGAGCTATCTTTTATTTAGGGTGGACTTCAAAAGTGACTGAAACACCTGTGTGAAGGGATGTGTGTGCCTGTTTATGGGGAAGAGGTTAAATGAAGAAGAAAGGGCTTAAAAGATTGTTTCTCTTTATGTCTAGGCTGAAAACAGTCAAAACTATTACATTTATACATAAAAGAGACTCACAAAAACACCCAGCCAAATATAATTTATAAATAAGAAGAATGGCTTATAAATAAGTCAAATATAAAATTGACTCATTGCAAAGTAATAAAGCCCCATCTGGTAGCACTGGGAATACCAACTTACAATTTCAGCAAATATTTCTGTTACTGGGTTCACTTTAGAAACAGTTTTATATTCCCTTAATTATCTTACCTGATAAATTATCTCAGTAAGTCTAAAGTAGGTCAGTGGAAACTCTTTTCACTGAGAACTATTCCTTAGAAGTAATTAGCCTGGAACTTTCTGTTGGTTCTGTCAGTCAGAAGTAGTTCACTGCCCTGGGGTTGATACTTGATTTGATATATATATACATTAAAAAGCATTAATAGCTGATTCTGACCATAG